GCCTGTGCCCTGGGTTCTTTCCTGCCTGCAGCTCATGACAATTTTATATAAGAAATTTACTTTTGATACATAAGTACAGTAAATATCAAATACTTTAAGACTTTTGCTCAAGTAATATTCTTAGAGAAGACTTTAACTTTTACCAAAGTAATTTTAAGGTAAGAGATTTWTACTTTTACTCAAATTTCACTTTGTGGTACTTTATAGAACACTGCAAAAATCTGGATTAGAGTGGAATGAAAAGAACAAACCTACAAGCACTTTTCCCTAAATGTGTTTGATTTTTGTTTTGATTAATGTTTTGCACAAACTAATTGTGTGTTTCCTACCGATGGTTGTGATGACGGTTCCAGCAAAGAAGAAGGCAGAACTGAGGTCCCACAGGCTGCTGTGATTGTTCAGGGATCCTGCAGGGTTCACYCCGGATCGCATCGCAGACACAACTTGCTGGAGAAAATAGAAAAATAAAAAGAACTGACTTAACTTTAAAATTTATAAAAACTCACGAGCTGTGTAACTTTTTAACAATAACTTGATTCAGCTGGTTTTCTTTGTTTTATTGATGTTGATTGTTTGATAATTTATTGAAGATAATTGTTTGTTGTYTGGAGGGACTACAGGTGAAAATTAGCCTAAATCTGGTGCAATACATCAAATGKTTTTACGTTTATGTATTATTTGAACTCTGTCCTGACTAAATAAAGTTGAATGATTTAGACAAAACCTTTTGAATAAGAACTGTGCTCAGGACCAAGGTCAGCGATTTAACTAACAGAAAGACTTCCAGCATCTCAGCTGCTCCTCTGATGCTTAAGCTGTCCTTGGTGCTGAAAACTACAGCAAAAAACTATCAAACTTTTTGCACTCAACACTTTCATGATTTCACAGTTTGTAGTAGTTTATGTAAATATTTACCTGTTTTTATTTYAGCAGTTTGACAAAATCTACTTTGAAGACAGGGGATTTTATTTGTCTTTATTCATTTACTGAAACCATTGTTGTTTCTCAGACAATAAAAAAGTAAAAATGTCTCATGAAACCAGAGTTTCTGCAGGAAACATGAAAAACTAAAAACTGTTTTATGAACTTTTATAACAAAAACAGCTTGAGGCCCCAATTTTTCACATTTTGTTGTCATGCTTGTTTATTTAAAATGTTTTTGTTGTGTAAATGTTTTTAAATTGTGTTTGTAAATTGTGTTTGCGGCTCACTGTATTCAAAAGCTAAAAGTCACAGATTGAGCTGATTACAGAGTATTTASACTACTTAAACTTCAGAATGGTCTGCTCCTAAAGTTGCAGATATAAGAGGGGCAGGAGACTATAATAACTACATGAAAGAGGAGTGCAGCTAAACACAAATGTCCATAGATGTTAAGTGTTTGATTTCACCTCAAAATCAGCTCAAGTCTTGACAACACAGATTAAAGCAGCTGTATTTATGTTAGTGAATGCATGCAGAGAAACTCTGGGTTGTAAAAACACCAGTTGTAGTTTTCAGACAGAACTGGTGGAMGATGCACTGAAACATGTTCAAAGGCTTCCTTATATTCAAATTAAACATCAGAGTTGGGCTTTAATGAGCTGTTCTCTCACTAATCAACCTGTTGATTAGTGAGAGAATCAACCACACACACACACACACACACACACACACACACACACACACACANCACACACACACACACACACACACACACACACACACACACACACACACACACACACACACCCCGCTGCCGTTTCTTATACAAGGGCGTTCTGAGGTGAGCCACACCTTGACGAGCTCCTCCAGCTGGCTCTGGTTGACACAGGTATGTTGGGACAGGAACTCCAGCTTCTGGGTCAGGATGGCCAAACGTTGGGCGCTGAAAGGTGGAAGAGGAAGATGAGGATCTATGTTCGTCAAAAGACAGAAACACTAAACCCCTCATGAAGTCTTTGCCTTCAGGAGAACTGAACACAGGCATGATGGGTAAAACGTTTACAACCTTCCTACCTCTCGTGAGGCTGCTCCAGAGACCTGAAGACAGCTGCTCCAATCACCAGGTACAGAACCACCAGGAGGAAGATGGCTGTCACTGTTTTCCACTTCATCACTGTGACCACCACCACCTGCAACACGTCACACGAAGACACAAACATGTGGGACTGCTCCAAACGTCCAGGTGTTTTAATTTCTATTATTTTTAAATTCCTCACCTCGTTTTCCTCCCGAGAAGTCAGGGTGATTGGCTTTGTGGAGAAGGAGAGGCGGGGCTTCGTGTTGTGAGCGGCAGATTTGGGGTCCAATAAGTCTGAAGCTGCCACTGGGTCAGGAGAAATTAATTAAAAAATTATTAAATTATTTTTTCTTCCACCTTTCTTTCCCTCCCTGCATGTCTCTGATCACCACAGACAGCTGTTAGTTTTACAAATGTTCAGAGTTAAATCAGCACCTTGTACTTCAGGTGTTCGTTTGCAGTGACGTTTACTTCATTATCACTCAGATGTAAAAATAAATTCTGCTTCTTTTAGAATGTTTAATATGACAAGTTMTATGTTCTCACTGAAATGAAAGAACACAAAAGACTGAAGCTTAAAAACAAACTCTTTTTGTCTTTTTTCAGTAAGAGGCATCAATTAAAGGTGAAATATCTTCATGTAGTTCATATAAAAATTTTTTCTTTGCAATAAGTATCACCAACTGTAAAAAATGTTGGAATAAAACCATAATTGTTTTTTTGAGCAGCAGTCTGTTGAAGTAAACCTCTCTTTTAGAGTCCAGATTAAAATATTCTGTATTGTCGTGAATAAAATAAACGAAATCAAGTAAAAATATGTTTTACTGCTTATTCAAACCTTAAACCTTGCTTAACTTTTATTTACAATTTACTATTCCTAAAACAAATACATTTTCCTCAGTCTTAAAAAACAGGATGCAATTAGTCTTTATACAAATATAGATAAATTAATTAGTGTTTAAAAGTTTGTYTTTACTTAAATTCTCGACTTTTCTTCATCTGACTGCATTTTCTCTCCTCTGTCTCCTCCTTGTATCGTAAAAAATTGTCTTTATGAAAAATAAAGTAGAGCAAAAGCACAAATATAAAATATCAACTCTGATTTACCCTCCACATGAGGTTTATACATGARCAAAGCTTCAATGAGAGCAACTTAAAACCCTTCTTCTTTCCAAAATTCAACAAACCTTAATTTTCTGTCTAATTTTCTCTTATCAAAGTTTTGTATTTGTAGTATTTGTTTAGACACTATGGGTTTGGGGAAAAATACTTTTTTTTTTTTTGCAAACAAAGAACATCGTATTTTAATTGTCAAACAAGTTGTTACAGAAGTTGGATCACATGCTGCTGAAGTTTAGGAGAAGAAGAAAAACTTTAAAATCTTGTGTTTTTGTTTGCATAAAATGACACTTGTGATTCCAAAACCTGCATCAAGTAAAGAGGAGCTCCTGGGTTTCAGGACTTACTGGTCGGTGTTGGCTATCCAATGCCCTCCGCCCTCCGGATCTCCTCATCCGAGCCTCTCACTGCGTTTAGGGGAATCTTTCCTCCTCTGGGGGACTGAGGAAGAGGAGGAGGAGGAGGAAGGTGGACTGACCGGCGCTCCGTCTTCTCCCGGCTTCTGTGCTCGACTTTCACCGCTGCAGACTCTGGTCCTGCTGCGTGAGGAAGGTGGTTTGATGCCTCCACCTGCAGCAGTGAAGACTTTTCTCTGCTCTCTCCTCTCTGAGCCTCTCCTGTTTCAGCTCTCCAGCATCGTGCGCTCTGACGCTCCAGCTTTTGAGCGCGCGGATGGAGCTGTGAAAAATTACGGAGAGGGGAGGAGGAGGAGGAGGAGAAGGAGGAGGAGGAGGAGGAGGATGGTGGAGGTCCAGGGAACAGAGGGATGCCCCTCAACCTGAGGATCCAGTGGGGCCCTCTACAGGATAATTAAACTGTAAGCCCCAAGTTTTATCTCCATGTGTCCTAAAAAAAAGTTTGTATTTGAGTCATTTTCTGATTCAACTGCTCATTGTTCCTCAGCTGATGAGACAGACAAGAATTATTATTAATCACCAAGATGATTTCAAAAAATCTGTTAGTGAAAACTGATCATGATGCATGATGTTCATCTGATG